ATTCTTTGTGATGCATTTGCAAGAAACACCACCAGCTGACTCAAGTATCTGTGTCAAAGAGTTTCTGGAAGGTAAACGTCACTCTCAGGATCCTGAGTTCATTCCTAAATGGAAAAGAGATTTATTAAATCAAAAGTCTACACATAAATGCATGTTTCCCGACTGCAAAAATAAAAATGATAATATTAAGAAAGCTTCTTTTGCTCCAGTCGAGACGATAGCAGAGCTAGCTGGTATTGCTTCGAGTAACAATGAAATTTACTTTTGTTCAGCTCATTATAATGACATGCATCGAAAAAATTGCCCTCCTTTGCCTTGTGCATTCTGTGGTGCATATCCCAAACCATCCTGTTCCTTTACACATCACTGTCCTGATGCTTGCTACATTACACAATATTTTAATACCTTGGACAGTTTAGCACCTGTACAAATTGAGCCACATGACTACATATGCTTAGCATGCTATAAGCTACATGTTTCTATCATCTCCTCAACTGACAACAACTCACCTTATCCAACTCTTCCTCAGAACTTGGCCTTTTGGGTTAAAGAGCTTGAAGACTGTGAAGATAAAGCCACCCAGTCAATTCTTCACACAGTTCTCTTTGTTTCAAAAAATCTAATCGAAGATAGAGCTATGTTTACTTACTTACAACAGCAGGAACAGTGTTTCTTGAAGCCTATACAGGAGAAGAAATCAAAGTAAGCATATCATCTGTTTCATTGGAGATTGAATTTGGTAACTCAGTAATTAAGTTTAGTTCAAGGTGGCTTCTCAACCAATTGTTACTGTATTTGCATAGATACATGTTGTATGCATGTATACATAAGAAATACGGGACAATTCTGTACCACAAAGATGGTAACTTACTTGTAAGTTTATCATGGGCTCTAGGAGCTGTTAAACATGATACAGACCACACAGAGTACATAGCTGAAAAAACAAAAGAGAAGGATAGTGAAAATTGCAAATTTGTGGTCATGTAGTTAACAAGTTGCTGTTAGAGGAAATTCATCGCCTAAGTAACTGCTCTAAAGAAAATGAGAATTCAAGTTTTTCCATTACAAGTTTTCTAAAGGATGTAAATCCTCACTTAAATCTATTTTTAGAGTTAGTTACTCAACCAAGCAATGCCAAAGGCAAAACAGAGTTAAGCAGTAAAATTAGAATTATTCGCCGTGCATTTATTTTATCTCTATTATTAACATGTATCAATCCACAAATGCACACTCCAATTCAACACATATTAGCTGATGTTGCTGAGATAAATGGTGGTTCACGAAACCTAATTAAAATACTTAACAGATTAGGTTGTGTCACATCTACTGACACACATGATAGACTAGTTACCAATGAAGCTGAAAAACAACGAGAAGCTAATATTTGGGATTCCTTAAACCCTAGTGCTTTCACCATAGCATCAGTGGATAACTTTGACATGCTTCAGAGTCACGCAGCTGTGTATAGTGGACAACAACATCGCAGTTTTCATGGGACTACAGTGCAACTAGTCCAACCACAGCCCACTCAACTGATGTGCATGCAGTGGCAGATTTTCTTCCCACAATTCTCTTTCACCCTCTTTCCCTTGTACAACACTTTCTCATAATAATAACTCACAATTATTATGTAGCAATCCTAGCTTAACATTTCCTTCAACAAATACTATCACTTTACTTGATTCAGGTTCCACAACCGAGCCAATAGTGTCCACCTATGAAACAACAATGGAATTATGTGTTACAGACTCTCAGGATATCCCAGATCTCCCTCCACCTCTCTCTCCCTCTCTTCCTCCCTCACTCACTTCTACAACACTTTCAGGTGATTACTCACAATTATCAACTAGCAATCCTAGTTCAACATTTCCTTCTATCACTTTACTTGAGTCAAGTTCAACAACCGAATCAATAGTGTCTACCTGTATAACAAGGGAATTATGTGTTACAGACTCTCAGGATATCTCAGATGAACACCCTATTGCCCATAGCAAACTACATGTATCTCATGATAAACCCAGTAATTCTCCTTCTAGCTCACCACACAAACTTGGTAAGGTTGGGCCGAAAAGGCCCAGAACATTATCAGTAAGGAACTTGTCAAATAACTTTAACTCTCACTCACAATTACGAAGAACCAGAACCACTACAAATTATAGCCAACATTTCCTCTGAATGCCTTTCAAGGTGAATTTCCTTGAAATGCCTTGAATAAACGCCTGGTACTAAGAATCTCCAAGTATAGATATGCATATTTTAGTCAATATAAGCATAGATATTATAATGGAAAAAGTAGTAG